GTTTTGAGCAGAGGTAGCCTAGTTTTGTGTTTGAAACAATCGCTCTTGCCTCAGTGTGTGGCACAGAATTATAATAAAGTGTGTGAGGTAGTCCAGTTATCCAAGTGAGAGAGAATAGGGGCTTGGATTCCTGTTAGAAGCATAGGTAGCAAGAGATGGCTGGATGCTGGATGGAGAGAAAACTTGGCAAAGAATTTGAGAGGGGGTGTGGAAAAGGAGAGGCAAGTGTCAGGGGCAAGTTCTCAATGTCACCATTCCTCGAGACAAGGGGCTCTGGGGAGGAGAAGCAGCTTTGGAGACAGAAAAGTCGGGAGTTCACTTTGCATATGTTGAGTTGGAGACATCTCATAGGCAGTTGTGTTTATGTGTTTGATCTCAGAAGAGAATTGGAGAATTTAATTTGTGAATCATTGATAGGTAAATGAAGCTATGGGCAAGGATGAAGTCATTTAGATGTGTAGTGGAGAGCTTTAAAAACAGTACTAATGTCAGTCCCTGGGCCCCACCTAGACCAGTGACCACAACTTTCACCGCCTTGCCCCCATCCCCAATGCTCAGATGCAGCCAAGTACACACAGCCCCATGGACTGGTGTTGAAGAACTCCTGGGTTACACAGTTGCTGAAGCACGCACAGCCTGACTTTCCTCACATCACCATGTCGCCATCCATCCCTCAGACCTCTTTAGGTCTTTCTCCGCCATCTGTTGAATGGAGTCAGCTCTTGGCCTAAAGTTCTGCGTCCTTCCAGCTCTACCGCAGTCTACCTTTCCATTCACTGCAGACTGCTTCCTAGCACATAGACCAGCGACTACGGTCCAGCAGCCTGTTCCCTCACTCCACCTGGCAGATTCCCGCCTCTATACCCTTGCTCAGGCTGTTCCTTCCCTGGATGGGGTCTGCCTCTCCACCCTCCTCCAGGGTCCATGCCAAGTCCCACATGTTTCCAGATGCTTCCCCAGGCCCCATAAGGACTAGAACACTTCTCTTCCTGGAGAATAGTACTAGATCATAACCTGTACCTCTCATTTTGTGTTTAGCAAGGTGACCCCTTGATCTAGTTAGAACAAATTTAAGAATTTGTTCTAACTAGATCATTCTTACACTGTAACCCTTGCTGTTCTTAGGAGATGTGTTCCTAGAATCCTCAACTCTTAAATTGTCCTAGCAGCAAGTGTAGGGTTGAGAAGAGAATATTGATTAGGAGGCAGATGCTGGGTGGAGGACGGGGAGGAGAATTCAAATGACAGCTGAAAATGTGACCAACACATCTGAGAATGCCAACACTTGCTGAACTGTCCTGTCTCCTATAACACCCTTGTACGTCAAAGGTCCCCGTGAGAGCTGGCGCTGGGACAGGTAATTTCCTGATCATGCTGGGGTCTGCCTGGTCCTGCATTAGGAAGGCAGCATAAAGAGCAGGGAGCCTGGCTCCAGGCCTGGGTGGAGAGACCTTTGAGTCATAAGAAGTAAGACACTGAAGAGAATTGACAGGCGTGGGAGGAGATGAGGGAATTAAGGGATTTGTCCACTTGGCGTCTCTGTGCTCAGATGACCCACCCTACCTTTGCATGTGATGCCCTCATGTGGGTAAGGGATGACCAGTGATCCTAGCAGCAGGGCTTTGCGTCATCAAGGCAGAGATGACTGATTGTGATGAGTCAGAGGCACTCCCTGAAGCAGGTTTCTGGTAAGCCCCGTTTGTTGAAAATGCCAGACTGTGGTCAGGAGTTAGATCGAAGTATATATTATAAGCATTATGAGCTTAAATTCTATGTGGATGAAGTTTTTCTAGGCCATAGACTCAATATTAAATGTGTTTAAAGTCCATCAAAAATCAACTCCTGGTTGTTGTATTACTAAACTAAGAACAGATACAGATATAACACTTGATCTTATCTAAAAGGCAAAGAAGTGATATGTGGATGAATTTTTAATTATTGACTTTCAGGTTTAGTAGATACTATTGACTAAACTAATTGACTTTCTTACCAATAGTGTGAGGGTTACAGGTATTCCACATACATGTCAACACTTGATATTGTCAAGCTTTTTTATTTTAACCATTCATGATTGTATGTGTAGTGGTATCTCACTGTTTTATTTTGCATTTTCTTGATGACTAATGAAGTTTAACAACTTATCATACGTTTATTGGCTATTTGGATATCCTCTTTTGTGAAATGCCTATTAAAATCTCTTGCCTATTTCTTATTGTTGGTAGAAATTCTTTGTATATATTGGGTATGAATCCTTTGTCAGATAGATGTGTGGCAAATATATTTTCTCACTCTATGATTTGTTTTTGTTTGTTTGTTTACTCTCTCTCTTTTTTTTTTTTTGAGTCAGAGTCTCACTCCATCGCCCAGGTTGGGGTGCAGTGACACTCTCATGGCCCCCCAGCGTTGACCTGCTAGGCTCTGGCAATTCTTCTGCCTCAGCCTTCCAAGTAGCCAGAACTACAGGCGTGTGCTACCATGCCTGGCTAAAGTTTGATTTTTTATTGTAGAGATGAGGTTTGGCCAAGTTGCCAGGGCTGTCCCCGAACCTACAGGCTAAGGCAATCCACTTGCCTTGGCCTCCCAAAGTGCTGGGATTTCAGGCTGAGCCACTGAGCCCAACCTGTTTACTCTCTTAATGGTGTCTTCTGATGAATGGATGGTCTTAAACTTTAATGTAATCCAATTTATCAGTATTTCCCTTCATGGTTAGTCCCTTTTGTAACTTAAGAAATGTTTCACTATTTCAAGGCTATGAATATAGTCTTTCATTTTACCTTCAAGCTTTATTATTTTACCTTTCATTTTTAAATCTACAGTATACCTGGAGTTGATTTTTGTGTATGATGTGAGAAGTCAAAATTGTTTGTTTTTTGTCCAGGTAGACATCCAATTGATTTAGAACCATTTATTGAAAAAACTTTCCCTTTCCTACTGCTCTGAGGGTCAATTTTGTCATAAATAAAGGATCCATGTATGTGTGGGTCTGTTTCTGGACTTTCTTTTTGGTTCTGTTGGCTTCTTTGTCAGTCATCATGTCACTACTGCACCATCTTAATTCCTGTATCATTAAAGTCTTGATAGCCAATGTATAAGTCTTCCATTGTATTGCTTCTTCAAGAGTCTCTTGGCTTTTCTTGGCCCTTTGCACTTCATTTAGTTTTAGAATTAGCTTGCCAATTTTTTTGTTTGTTTTGTTTTGAGTCAGGGTCTCCTCTGTTGTCCAGGCTGGAGTGCAGGGGCGCAATCACAGCTCACTGCAGCCTTGACCTCCTGGGCTCAGGTGATCCTTTTGCCTCAGCCTCCCGAGTAGCTGGGACTACAAGCATGCACCCCCATACCAGGCTAAAGTTTTTGATTTTTTTTTTTTGTAGAGATGAGGTTTTGCTATGTTTCCCAGACTGGTCTTAAACTCTTGGTCTCAAGATCCTCCTGCCTCAGCCTCCCAAAGTGCTGGGATTATAGTGCTGAGATACCATGCCTGGTATAATGGGTACAGATTTTATCAGGTATTTTTTTCTGCATCTGTGGAGCTATATAATTATCCAGTTTTCATCTCTATTGATATTTATCTTTATTCCCATTGATTTTGGAAGCATGAACTAATCTGTCATTTCTAGAATACACTTAACTTGGCAATGTTATATTATTCTACCCATAATTATTTTTGTTAAGATTTGTGCATCTATGTTCATGAGAGATTGACTTCTAATTTTCTTGTCAAGTTTGGGTATCAAGGTTACACTGAAATCAAAATGAGTTAGAAAGTACTTTCTTCTTCTCTGGAAGAGTTTGTAAATTGATGTTATTTGTTTCTTAAACATTTGGGTGACAACTCTTCTGATGAAATGTGTAAGAGCTAGTGTTATGGAGCAAGTTTTAGAAAACAATGGTTGAGAGTATGACTTAAATACAAGAGGGGAGCAAAAAAACTGGAATTTATTTATAGAAAATTGTGTATGTATTCTTACGTGTTTAAACTTTAGTAACCTTCAAAGTGCTATTTGATGCAATACACCCATTGAGATGCTTTTTCCACTACTCAAAGCAGTTTTTGATTTAATCAATTTTGACAACCTTTTAGTGCTTCTGCCATTTTTTTTTTTTTTTAGTTGGAGTCTCACTCTGTTGCCCAGACTGGAGTGCAGTGGCTACTCCTGGCCACCGCAGCCTCGACCTGCTGGGCTCCAGCGATCCTTCCGCCTCAGTCTTCCAGGTAGCTGGAACTACAGGTGTGCCCTACCATGCCCGGCTAGTTTTTTTGATTTATTGTAGAGATGAGGTCTTGCCAAGTTGCCCAGGTGGGTCTCTAACCCGCGGGCTCAGGCAATCCACTCACCTCAGCCTTCCCAAGGCGTGGGATTACAGGCTGAGCCACTGAGCCCGGCTGCTTCTGCCATTTTTTGTTTCACTTCTTCCACATCAGCAAAACGTTTCCCTTTGAGGACTTTTTTCATTCGGGGAAACAAAAGCAAGTGGCTTGGGGCAAGATTGGGTGACTAGGGAGGGTAGGGCATGCGGGTCATACTGTTTTTGTGGTGTGGGCAGGTGTGCTTGTAAATCACCCATCATGAAGTGGACAAACGTGTTGAAAGAATCGCAAAAAAAAAAAAAAAAAAAATATATATATATATATATATATATATATATTAACTGAAGCCAAATGCAGCCTCTCACAATGCTAGCTGGTATACAGATGCTGATGGGTTCCTAGAACATTTACCTGGCAGGAGAGGCCTGTACTACAGGGGACCCACCATTCGAAAAATAAATCTGGGTGTTTTTGGGTCCCCTCTCATATTCTCTAGTTTTGTTCATTTCTTCCCAAGTGCAACACTAGCTCCTCATCTTTTTCTTTTCAGCTGTGTGGGGTTCCGCTAAGTGACCCCATAGGACAGCAGTGAGGCCCTCTGAGCCCTAAGTCTGACCTTCAAGATCTACAGTCTCTCCCTGCTGGGCATCTTGTCCACCTCTCCTCAACTTTCTCTGCACTCTCTGACAGAATGAGCACCCTTGATGGTGTGCCCTTCAGGCTGCCCAAGGACTTTGTGATGGGCACAGAGACTCTCCCAGAGCCAGAGCTCAGTGTCCCAGCCTGCAGAGAGCTTCTGCTGGGTTCTATGGTAAGTGTCTGTGTCTCCTGGGTCTGGGAATCTGAGCGCATGGGGTCCTGCTCCTTGATTTTTTTTTTTTGAGTCGGGGTCTTGCTCTGCTGCCCAGGCTGGGGTGTAGTGATCCAATCATGGCTTACCACAACCTCAACCTCCAGGGCTTAGGTGACCTTCTGCCTCAGCCTCCCAAGTGGCTGGAACTATAGACATGCATCACCACACTTGGCTAATATTTTGATTTTTGTAGAGATGAGATTTCACTATGTTGCTCAGACTGGTTTTGAACTCCTATGCTCAAGCAGTTGAGTCTCGCCTTGATCTCTCAAAGTGCTGGGATTTCAGATGTGAGTCACAACACCTGACCCTTGTCCCTTGATTTTAAAGGACAGTTAGGTCTGCTCTTGTATAGTCTAGGAAGTTTGGAAACAACCCAGTAGAAGAAAAGATGTTTCATGATGACGTTTGGTGGCTGGGTGATGAGGATTGTCTAGTGGGTCTTGTTTTAAGCTTAGGATAACTAGGGGGCTGTCTGTGTGAAGCCACTGAGAGTCATTGCAAGGATGCTCCATTCTTCTCTTCCCTACCAGCCTGCTGCCATGTTGAAAATTCTACCATTACAGTTATTTCTCTGGGCTAAGATGCTATCTCCAGAATCCTCTGTTACAATGCAGACAGCTACATGGGACATACTTGAAGGGGTTACTGGTCCACAGACCCACAGCCCCCCTGCCTTGAAGGTAGCCTTGAAGCACCCCATGTGCCTTAGGGCTTACACACTGGGATGTGCACACTCCCAGGGTAAGTGGCTGTATCACAAGTGACCTCAGGATAAAAGTTATGTAACTTCCTGCAGAGCCAAGTATACCTGGAGATTTAGGAGAGAACCTATTGCATTTATTTATTTATTTAGTCTAAATTTTTTTGAGTCGGAGTCTCACTCTACATCCAAGTTTGAGTGTAGTAGCACGATCACAGCTCACCATAGCCTCAACCTCCTGGGCTCGGGCAATCCTCCTGCTTCAGCCTCCTGGGTAGCTGGGACTACAGGTGTGTGCCACTGTGCCCAGTTAACTTTTTGTTGTTTTTGTGGAAACAAGGTATTGCTATGTTGCCCAGGCTTGTCTTTAACTCCTGGTCTCAGGCAGTCCTCCTGTCTCAGCCTCCTAAAGTGCCGGGATTATAGGTGTGAACCACTCTGCCCAGCCCCTATTACATTTATATCATAACACAGATATACATGGGCTAGAATGCAAAATTCACATGAATTTTTAAAAACAAAAGAATAAGACTGAGAAGAACTGCAGAGGTGTCATCGGGCCCCTGCCTGTGGTGTGTGAACTCCCCACTGTCTGCAGCATGCTTCCTAAAAAAGTGTTGATCTGGTTTGGCTCTCATTCATTTTGTACATGTGGAACTTGAGATCCAGAGAAGGGAAATTATTTTTCCAAAGTTTGTAGCAGTGACAAAACTAAAACCCAGGTTCTGACTCCAGGTCATCTCAGCTAACAGGAGAACTCAGAACACGAGAGACACAGGTAAGAGAAGGTTTGAAGGCAAAAGAAAAGTTTACAGGGATGTCAGAAGAAGAACTCACAGTCCAGGAAGGAGCACACTGGGTCATGTAGAGGGGCTCAGGTGGCCTTGGAGTGCAATTTCCCTTCATCTGAAGACCCTGGAGTTGCATGGGGCTCCTCTGGTCTGGGGTCTCCAGAGCTGAAGTGCAGCACAGAGCACAGTGTCTGTGCTTGGGGGCAGGAGCTGTTGCACTGCCCTGGTGGCCTGTACTGTGGCTCTTGTCAGCACAGGGCCTGTGCTGTAGAGTGTAGGAAGTTGCCCCACCAAGTCTCAGTGGAGTTGTATTATCACAGCTCTCCTTCTCCATGAGCTCAAGCCATGCTGAGAAGAGGCTGTTATGAAGGCTGCCTCTTCTAGAAGCAGAAATGGGCACTTTCCTGCCAAGGCCACCCATGTGCCAGAGCTCTGGCTCTGCCCCCAACTCTTAGGTAGGCAGCTACACTCCCTTGAACCTGTTTTCCTTTCTGAGTCTCCATTTATTTTACTGCTGGGCCCAACTAACTAATAGGAGAGCATGAGACTCTAAACATGATTTATAGCCTCTCCTGGTAAACTCTCCAGGCTCACCAGGATGTATTCCCAGTGTTGGAACCTGAAATACATTACCTCATAGTAACAATGTTATGGATAGTAGGTGGATTACCAGATGAATCTACAGTGGCATAAAGGGGAAAAGTATATCTTAAAAAATATAGCCAGCTGCCATTTATCAGCTTCTATTGTGCACCCAACCTGTGCTAGGTGGTCTTCATACATTTGCTATTCTTTTTTTTTGATGATCCTTTTAGAAAGTATGCTTACACCATCACACAGGACACCAAAGCTCCCACGCAGGTGACCCACAGCTTATGAGTGACAGCAGGATTCCAGCATGAGTCTATCAAACCCAAAGCCATCCCCTTCATCTCACTGCTTTCCCAAGGAGCCCTTCCTCCCATAGTTAAAGGTTCAGTAAGTCTGTGTTTTGTTGTTTCATAGTTTCCCTTTACTTTTAAAAATTTTATTTGTTTTTATTTGAGTTAGAGTCTCACTTCATTGCCCAGGCTGGAGTGCAGTGGCACACTCACAGCCACCCCAGCATCGACCTGCTGGGCTCCAGTGATCCTTCTGCCTCAGCCTTCCAAGTAGCCAGAACTACAGACACGCACTACCACGCCTGGCTAATTTTATGATTTATTGTAGAGACGAGTTGCCCGGCTGGTCTCAAACTCGCGGGGTCAGGCAATCTACTTGCCTCGGCCTCCCAAAGTGCTGGGATTACAGGCTGAACCACTGAGCCCAGCCTAAATTAAACTTTTTAGAGAGAAAATACATTCATGTGGTTTGAAAATGAAAAAAATGAAATAAAAGGGTATAGAGCAGGAGTTGACAGATTTTTTTTAAAGGGACAAATAGTCTGTGGCAATGACAGTTCTGCTGTTGTCAATCATAGAGACACAGACAGCATGTGTGGATAGCTACAGCCATGTTTCAATAAAAATTTATTCACAAAACAGGGTGAGGGTCAGTTTGGCCCACAGGCAGTTTGCCCCTGGTAGAAAAAAAGCCATCTCTGATACCTTTCCATCTACCCTGTTCCCGATCTCTACCCTCCTCACTGGTGACCTCTCTTACTCACCTTTAACGCATTCTTCCAGAGGTTCTTATATGTGTATACACAATACAAGCAAATGCAACCATTTCCTCCTGTTTTACACAGAAAGTTTTTTTTTTTTTGAGGAAGCAGGATTTATTGAGAAGACAGAAAAGCTCCCACAGTGGAAGGGGACTTGAGGGGGTTGCCCAAGGTATTTTTAAAAATACATTGTTCTTGATTTTTTTACTTAATGTATTTTAAGATCTTTCTATATCAGTATGTAGGATGCTTCCTTATTTTGTTTTTCACTGCATAGAATTGCATTATATGGATAAATAATACTTTATTTGAACTAGTCCTCTCTTGGTGGACATATAGGTTGTTCCAGTCTTTCACCATTACAAATAATGCTGCGGGACCCATGACTAGATGTAAATGTCTTCAATATATTGCCAAATTGCCTTCCTTAGGGCACATAATTGCCCTCCCAACCAGCATTAGAGAGTGCCTTTTCCTCCCAGGCTTCCCGAGAATGTCATCAGACTGAACCTGCCCAGGAGTGAGCAAATGATATTTAACTGACTTTTCTCTTAACAACTTTTCATATGTGTAAGAGCCATTTTTATTTTCTCTTCTGTGGGCTGCCATATCTTTTGCCAATTTTTCTGTTAGGCTGTTGGTCTTTTTCTTATTTATTCTCAGTAGTCTCTGTATTGGTGAAGGTAGCTCTTAGTGATTTATGCGTTATTTTTCCAGAGTCTGTCACTTCTGTGTGACAGATACCATGTGTGTGTATGTGGTAGTAGTTAGTGGAAGTGGTAGAGTTTTCTTCTATGATGTCTGGATTTTGATCCAAAGCGAGAAAAGCTTTGTCTACCTGAGGCTTTAAATTTCTCTCATGGTGCTTTTATGGTTTCAGATTGTACATTTGATCCTTCTATATTCATCCTTGTGTATTACTGTTAGAGACAGAATCTTGCTAGGATGCTTAGGCTGGTCTCACACCTCGGCCTCCTGAGTAGCTGGAACTATGACATGAGTTGCCACACCCAGCTGACACCATTTATTGACCAGTCGTTGTCTTCCTATTGCTTCAGAAGCTCCCTTATTTATTTATTTATTGTGTTGAAGCCTCACTCTGTCACCCCAGCTGGACTGCAGTAGCATGCTCACGGCCACTGCAGCCTCGACCTGCTGGGCGCAGGTGATCCTTCTGCCTCAGCCTTCCAAGTAGCTGGAACCACAGGCATGGGTCACCATGCCCAGCTAATTTTTTGATTTATTGTAGAGACAAAGTCTCACCATGTTGCTCGGGCTGGTCTCGAACCCCTGAGCTCAGGTAATCCTCTTGCTTCTGCCTTTCAAAGTGCTGGGATTACAGGTGTGAACCACCACGACTGGCATAGCTCCCTTTATTATTTACTAAATCTCTCTATATATTTAGGTCTATTCTAGACTTTTTATGATGCACCTTTAATCTGTCTGTGGCAATATCATAGTTTTAATTATTGAGGGTCTACATAATTTTAACAGTTGGTGGAATCAGTTCCCCTTATTTATATTTTTGTCTCCAGAGTTTTTCTGGCTATTATTTGTTTCTCATTTGAACTTTAGAATCATCATGCATAGTTTCAAAATCAATTGTTGGCATTTTATTGGGTCTTTGTATCTTTTTATCCCTCTAAGTCCTGCTAGCTATCTCATTTCCTAGTCTCTTTCTTTCCAAATACGCCTCATTAGTTGTGAAGTTTTCTTCCTCCTCTGTCCTTTGTAACCAGCCTATCTTGCTCCGATCTCTCTCTCTGTTCTGCACACACTTACAAATGTCCATTCTGTGCCAGGCCTGCCCTGGGCTCTGAAGATATCGAAAGGAATAAGACACAATCCCTGATCTTAGTCAGGAAGTCACAGGGGAGCAGATGATTTGAGCTCCTCTCCCCAAGGAAGGGAGGTGTCAGGGGTGAGGGGGCAGTGCCTGTGATCAGAGTCCTAGTGTCCATGCCTGCCTGTCTTTCTCCGCCCCCAACCCTAGCCCCTTTCTTCCTTCACTGGCTTTGGTAGAGCAACTTGCCTTTAATTTTAAACAATATTTTTGGCGGAATTTTGTGTTTTCTGTTCTTAATTTTAAAGGTAGGGAAGAGGAACATCTTATTTTTATCCCATTTTACAAACTTTCAAATTAGATGACTTATGTAGACGCCAGATCACTCGTTGGGAAGGCCTGATAGGTCGTGGGAAAGCACCGGAGTCGGCAGCTATGGGTTAGCCACACACTGCGTGGCAGGGGACTCGGAGATGGCCATTCGGTGGGCGAACTCCACCGTGCCATTCGGTGGGAGGATTCCACTGTGCCATTCGGTGGGCGGATTCCACCGTGCCATTCGGTGGGCGGATTCCCACTGACGGTGACGGCCGGCGACCTCACGTTCCTAAGCCAAGGCAGGAGGTAGGGGAGGCTGCCGTGTCGGCCGGGCGCCTCACACCGCCTCTCTCCGCAGCACGACTTCAGCCTGGAGCGGGGCGCGCTCTTCTGGGCCGAGGCCGCCGTCCGGGATCCCTGCCCACGCCACGCCGGCGAGCCGGGGACGGCATCAGCCCCTCCGGCCTGGCTCCTACTGGTCGGTCCCGAGCACGGACCGGCGCCTGTGGCCCCCGGAGACCTGAAGGCCGGGCCCCGCGGGAGGCCGGAGGACCAGGACGCGGATGACACGGGCGACGCAGCGCCGGACCGCCGGGAAGAGCCGGGCCCCGGCCCTCGCCACGACGCGCAC